AGATCAGGATGATGAAACCCCAAAGAGAAAATGTGGCAGACCAAGGAGACTGACACTAATTGATGAATTTTTCCTTGTAATGTGTAGGCTAAGAAGAGTATTTGCTGAGCAGCACCTAGCCCATTTATTTGGAGTTTCTCAGGCCATTGCCAGTAGATTGTTTACAACCCACATAAACTACATGTTTTTGAAGTTTGGTCAAGTGAAAATTTGGCACTGGGAAGCCAAAGAAGTTCTTTTCGACGGGTGTAGACTTTGTTTATAGCTGGATCGACCAAGTTTTGATCTTTTCCAGTTCTCATATACTCTTCTACCCTATACAAAGAAAGAAGAAACATTCTGATAAGATTGCGAACAAAAGCAAATAAGAGGGTTGCTATTTTTACTAGTCCTTGTAACTCCCAAACAAAACTTTGATTTACATTGTAATATCGAATAGTTTCCCAATAAATCATCAATATACCCTTTTTATCTCTCAAAAAGTCAACATTTCATTATTATATAAATAATCGATTCTCTATACAGAGATTTTAGTGAGCAATCCACATGACGGCGAAGCTCAGAAGATTTGAGTGCAATAATGGCGACTACAACTCAATACTTATCAAGCATTTAATGGCGACTTCAGATACAGTTTTATGACTTTTTGGATTGATAAAGAAATTTCAAGCCGTACTTAATTGTTTTCAGCATTTAAATACGTAATTTGGCTGTCGCGAAGAATGAAAGAATCGTGAACCTACCGCTTAACCTACGTTTTGAGCGGCCAAAAAGGGTAATTTAGTGAAATATTTTGTACTGCATCAGTAAGCTGTACGTTTTGAGCGGCCAAAAAGGGTCATTTAGTGAAATATTTTGTAAAGAAAATACTCTCTGATTGGAATTTTTCTTTCTTTCGTACTTTTTTTGGGTTTGATAAACGACGTCAAAACCGTATTGCCATTGACATGTTACTCTGCCTTTGACATCAGCTAAAGCAAACAGTTTTTCTTTCTTTCCTTTGCGTTATTAGGGGAATTTCATCCACATTCCTTACTTGCACTTTTCTTTTTCAGCTTATGTCTGATTCAATGATAACGATGATGAGTGTGATAGTTATAGAAATTATCATTGCAATAATACTTAAAAATGGACGGAGACCCTCGGATAGTTTTCGGTTAGTTTTTGGAGTACATATTCGGAGCTTGTACACTCTTCGGAAAAATCTTAAATAAAGAAGAAAGAAAAATTGAAAAAAACAAGCCTTCAAAAATTCGGGGCTCTCCGGGTATTTTCGGAAACCATCATCGGATTATATTTGGCGCTCGTATACTCTTCGAAAAATCATCGGAGTTGTTTTGAATAAAAAAACAGACGTTGAAAAATTCCGGATTCCGGATTTTCCAGCTTACCCTTCGAGTTCATAATTACGTATATATAAAGATAGGCAGGCCGAGCGGACTGTGTGTGACTTTAGCGGGTAAAGTTTATTACCGGCAATAACTAACATGTTAAGATCGAATTTCAAGCGTACGTGTGAGCGTTAAGAAAAGGACAAATTTAACAAAAAAGGATAAGAACAAATTTAAAAGAATAATAAAAGCGAGGAATAAAACATGCGAGGTCTCCTTACCTTTTTTCCGCAGCCGCCTTGTTGCTAACGGCCGCTTTAACGCTCTTTTGGTGACTTGCTTTTTAAGGCGCGTGGTGTCACTAGTCAACTGTAAAATAGGAAAAATTATAAAAAAAAATTAAGAAAAAGTAGAAAAGAAAAATAAAAGTGAGGAAGAGATCATATAAAGTCTCCTCTCCTTTTTTTCGTAGCTGCTTTGTCGTTTACGGTCCTTTTATATTTAACGCTGTTTTGGCGACTTCCTTTGTAACGCGTGTGGTGCTACCGCTCAACTAAAAAGTAACTCAAAGCTGGAAACTTCAACCGGTCCCAAACAGCAACCGTCGCCACTCGAAGGCCGATAAATTCCACAGAAGTCGACCGATCTCCCTCAAATTTCCACCCGCATAGCAGACAAAATCAAAGGACAAATCAAAATCAAAGGACATTGTTTCCGGTCGAATTAGACATACCGACACCTGGACGGTGTTGTTTTGCGAGAGGACAAAGGTGACGACCTTTCCTTGGGAGATTGTCATTTATTCGACAGACGCGGTCGCCAAGCTTTTAGATTTGAATCCCGTAGTGAGGGCAAAAGGATTACGCGTACCTACAAAGCGATTTTGNAAACCATCATCGGATTATATTTGGAGCTCGTATACTCTTCGAAAAATCATCGGAGTTGTTTTGAATAAAAAAACAGACGTTGAAAAATTGAAAAAAACAAGCCTTCAAAAATTCGGGAGGTTAATCTAGTAAAAACCTCCTAATCTAGGTTTCTTTAGACACCTTAATAAATTTTTCATCATCTTCATCATCACTTTACACCCAAAGTTCACACAGTACGCTTGGGCCGCCTGTCATATGAATTTTTATCTAATTTTGTTTCACTATGGGCGCTAAAAACACAAATTTAGATTAAGGTTGGGATTCTTTGGCAATGGTAAATGATAGTCAGATACCTATTTTTTTCAAGATATTTTTCCAGCGTATCCTAGTCGGTAATGCCTGCAGAAAGTTTTTTTAGGTTCGGTCGAAAAAACCTTACGAAATTAAAAGACTTAGTAGAAAAGTTGGTCTTGAGATGAGAGAGATTAAAACATTTCTTTCATTTAAGGATATAGATAGCAGAGCAACTAAAATTAAGTCGTTGGTATATGAAGGAACTTCAGCTGTGTATTGATCGGTATCGTAAATTATACGATATTCTCACAAAAGCCCAAAACATAGAGAAGACTTCAGCTGCACTCGAGCTTTAATTATCTTTTTAGCTAGTGCAACTGTTATGAAAAAAACAAGCTTTTCAGCATAATTTTCTTCCGGATTGTATGGGGGAGTAATTGAAGTTAAGTGGTTTAGTTTGAACATATAACTTTTGATCGATGAGGTGCGTTGTCAGTTAATTTGAAACGAAACTAGAGTTTTTCATGGATTTCAACTCTCAAAAGAAACGTAAATCTTGCCAGCAGTGGTTAAAATCACCAACAACCAACACAAATGATTAACTTTCTAGAATCAGCACCTATATGAAGCCAGATACCCACACAATGTGAATGATTTTCTCCCACATCATTTCCTTCTTGCCACGTGTCTTTTGAATATATAAAGTTTAACGCAGCTTTACAAGTCTTTACTCCTCCACCCATGCTTAAATATGCTTTCCACCGACACGCCCTGACGTCGTTTTCGCGGTCTCTTTGAATAGAAGATCCAAATAAACTGAGGATATGCTCGACTCGCATCCGGTCTAAAATTCATCACAGCGTTATTTGCATGTGGAGTCGAACTAGATTGAAAATGCTTTTCGAGTATCGATCTGGCCGGGAATCAAACCATTTAGAGATGATGAAAACCACGACATTACTTCCAATTACGATTGTTGCTCTAATCTCTGACTTGCCTGATGCCAGCAGCAGTGAAGAAAAAGTAGGTAAGACTGGATATTCTGTGTACGTCTATTTCGGTACACTTTGTTCCTTTCATGTAATCAAAATCGATCCAACTTGAATGGTCTTTCAACACTGTTTTTAAAGAAATACTTATTAAAACACCAGTCTTTTTCATTGATTAGAAAGAGGTGAACGATTGAAAGTAGAGCTGAAATACTTCTTTTTTTCTCAGACATGCAAGCAGACTTTGGATAATGAAAAAGGGCTTTTGACTCATAGTTTTTTTCAGGTTGCTTGTCGAGACCCACAAATAATGCGCATTTTGAAAAAACTATTTCAGGATTGAACACAGCTTTTTCATCTACTTTTTTGGCACCGAGGTCCTTAAATGTATTGAGACATTCCTTACAGTTAACTTACGAAAAAATTATAAATAACAAAAAGGCCAACATTATGAAAAAAGCGTAATGTGATTTTATCTCGAGGCCCGTCATATAGAGTTAAGTATTTAGGTGTGCCTTTGCATGGGGCAAGGGACGTTGTCAATCACAGATTTCAAGCCAATCAAAAGAGGTCAGATCAAATAGCACCAAGGTTACAGGCAAGGTCAGTTCTCTCCTGGTCCTTCTCGCCTTCATTTCCATCGTGTTAACATCCAAACACAGATTTTCGGTACTGTAGAAGATTTTTCCCGCCCCTCCCCATGCTCCAGCCCTCTCTTCAGGCTTTTGTTACCTTTTTATACGTATTTGGCTCTTTGCCCATATTTAACCCCACCTTTGCTTAAGAGATTGCGTGATGTTTATTATATCAATGTTCTTGATGTGGGGTGAAACAAAAGCGTCACTATTGTGGCCAATTTATCCCACATCAGCAGTTATTTTTATCTCCCGTCAATCTCGTCAGCAAACTAGCGCGACGGTGCGCAGAGCTTCGATCCCGTTTTAGTGGAGATACGCGGGTTTTGTGATTAAAGTTACAAAATCTGTGTGTTGTATTTTCTGTGCGTTTAAAATGATGTTCGTTGGTTCAGTCAAGCAGTCAAACATTTTGAAACTGAAATCAAAATGTATGGAGCACCCACTTCGCCCTTTAAATTGGTGTCAGATTATCGTACTCTTTAATGATTGGAAGCTTTTACTGAGAAATTTGTGTCATTAATAAGGTCAAGTGCACAAATTACATTTTGATATTTGATATCCAGGAGGAATTTCGCGCATGAAGTATCGCAGCTCATTTGATGATATAAAGGCTGATAGTTTCTAAAGAAACTGTTTGGGGCTGCGTAGGTGGGGGGTAACGAAATAATTTGAATATAACAACAAAGTTGAAATGGTAAATTGGCCTCCATTACGATTCGCTCCGACGAAGGGCTAACGCTCGAAACGTCAGCTTTTATAATCGTAACGGTGGCCAATTTACCATTTCAACTTTGTTGATATATTCAAATCATTTGATGATATGTTTGCTATCGAGTCGTCCAGCTCATTGTGCTGTTGTTTTTAATTTTTGATGTTGTTGTTGTTTTTTTTTTAATGGGAGACACGTTACTTTCATACACATACACATAGGTCAAGCGAAAGATAAGATGTGCTGTTAGTTATACTGTAAACTAATTCATGCTCTGCCGAAGATCGAATATATTTCGGTGTGCATTACTAACTACAACAAATCACTATTCTTTAATAGTGCACTTCACTCTCAAAACGTTTTTCTCTACCCAGGGATATGAATGGGTAACCGCAATCTGAATGGTAAATGTGATGATTTTCTTTCTGAGACGAAAACTGTCTTATTCTTCCATCGAACCAAGAAGTAAATTTCAGAGTGTATACATGTATTATTAACTACGAAATTATTGTTTTTCCATAGTGCATTTGTCAAAAAATATGAAAACTGGATACCAATACAGAGACGTAACATGTACAAGGAAACTTTGACACTTCATTCGAGCACCACGGTATAAGAAAGTTTGTCAGTGTTGAATCAGAAAGAAACAATGAATGGTTAAGATTAGATTTCAAGCGAGACTTGAATGTTATTTATTTGAATTATTTAGCGGAAGATCCCATCCCTACCCTATAATAAACCTTGGTTTTTCTTTTTCCTCTGATTTCTTGTACAAAACATTCAGAAGGTCAGAAATCAGCACCAAAAATATAGTGTCTACATACATAGTAAATATGTTTACATGCCGAAAGCTCACTCCCTTTCCACTGAGAAAATACCCTTGATTACCTATGTTCTCCAGTGCAATACCCTTACTCAAATATGAGAAAAAGGCTTGGCTAACATCTGACATAATTACTATTGTTTATAAAGTAAACAGTGTTATAAATGAAAATCAACTAACAAAAACAACTATTCAAAGATTTAACAAATGAAATAAAAAAAGCTAGAATAGCATCCAATATGGATAAACTAAATAAAGAAAAGCTGTGTACCCATACTTGCCAGGTCAACGAAGCTTAATTTCAAATACAATCTACACTGAAATTATTTTCCTTACTTTAAAAACGTGCAGTTGTAAGTTACCATAAATCTGTTAAAATAATGCCTCAGCGCGCATATCCTTCGACTAAGAGCTCAGGAAATTTGTTGTTCCGTGTACCTCTTGAAAATGTCTTCTGCCGCTACCTTGCTCTCGATTCTGCTTCTTGCTGTGTCGCTTGCCTTTGACGCCGGTTCATTTTCTAATTTACATGAGATCTGCAAAAACCGGTAGCTCGCAGTCGACCAATGTGTCATAGATTTCTCCAACACTCAGGTGGCGATGCTCTCCCACAGCCCTGAGGACAACGTCAGAGGGGTTTACAACTCTCTTGTCTAGAAAGCGAATCTCGATTTGAGAGAGACCCAGCCTTTCTGCCAATAATTTCCACTCTTCCCCACCTATGAAGAACAACGTTTCATGCTGTTTTATAAACTGAAATACAGATTGCGACCTTAAACCAAACTCTGTTTCACACTGTGGTGCTAAATGGTGCAAAATCCTGCGGAAATGATCTGCAAACGCATCTGCAAAATAGAATCCTGTCGAGACCTAGGTTTGTTAGGCTCCATCTCAGAGTCGAGAGACGTAACGTATGAGTTTGATTAAAAGCGAGATTAGTTTATAAATAAATGGGCGTACAGACGCAATCTTAATTCCCTACCCGAGAGGCTGAACGTCAGATCCTTGTATTGTTTAAATGGCATGTTACCAACTGACATATCCTCATTCAGCAACGGCCCTGTAGACACAAACAAACAGAAAAGAAGATAAATGAAGCTGAATGTATTTTAGAAAACTCAAAACCAAATTTAAAAAGAAATGTATTTCAGCCGATCAAAGGGCATTAACAACAAAAACAACAACACAACATAACATGATTTCAACGCTGTGTAGAAAGGACTTTTGCGCGAGTACTTTAATTTATTTATATCCAAGAAACCTTTCCCCTCTCTCCTGCACGAAAACAAATCTCATCTTCCTTACACTCACCAGTAGTACCAGCAGGTGTGATCTCTCGTAAGTGCCTCACCAAGTCATCCCTTTTCTCAGATTTAGCTCTCAAGGTAAGACCACGAATCATATTTTTCGCCTCTGGCTCTGCGCTGGTTAAAGATGCTGGTTCCAACTGCAGAGCTCTTTGAAACTGAATCACAATATCCTTGACGTTACTTGCTGAATCCAGTGGAATGGACTGAATGGAATTTTTGACACTCTCTGGCAGCGCAAGTTCTTTCCGTTTCGCTCCTTGAAAATGAGTGAGAACGAATTGAAATAAAAAGCTGAGACAAAATAAAATGCAGTAAGACAAAGTTGAGTAGACGGAATGAGATTCGCTAATGCCCAAAAATCTTGAGTTGATTAAAGGTTTGTTCCTGGAGAGAGGATTTTGTGAAGAATCCTCTGAAATTATACCCGGTATTTTGCTGGATGTTATTATTATGAAAAGAAAGGGCGCCTTACTTTCCATGGAAAATATGCCCTTCTCACCAAGAGGGCCTCCGTGGTGCGTTGCATGAAGGGTTTGCATCTGATAAAAAAAGCAAATTCAATAATTTAAAAAAAAACAGCACTTTGAAATGAAAACGTTTTAGCGTCTCTTCACCCTTGGGAAAACAATGGGACTGGTAATTTACCTGATTCGTTGACATTCCGGCTCTTTCCTTTTCTTGGCCAAATGAAAACCAACATTGGAACTGCTGGATCCGAATCCTGTAATCCCCAAGAAGGCTGCGTCCTGGTTTGTTACAATGTTGCCTTTTTCTCAGATCAGATTCCGACAGGAAGTGTAGACACTCGCATCCACGCACGTCATGATCGTGACATTTGACCGACCCTGGTTGAGAGCAGACTGGGCAGCAGACACACATATCGTACTTCATGTTGTTGAGCCAGTGAAACTCTCTCCGCATGCATTCGAGGATAAACCTCAATTTCCAGTGAACAACACGACATATATCTGCGCTTGTCTTTTCATTGCCTCCGCTGTAAACGGCGACTTCGATGGCCGAGGAATGACACCAAAAAATAACGGAGATACCTTGGTCTGGAAGAATGCAAAAAATGACGAAATTATAGAACAACTGTGGGTTCATTTCGTTGTTCCATTCTTCGCCGCACCACTGAAAGAAGAGAAGGATAAGTCGGGAGAAGAGACCAGGAGGCACTCGACCAGATGCAAATTTTATAAAAAGTGATGGTATGTTTACAGAGTGGAGAAGCTTCAAGACTTCATCGGTTGGGGGTGACTTCAACATGGATGGCACCAGGTACTGCTTCCTATCTTGCCATGATGGCCAAGCGGAAAGCAAGCTTAATCTCTCCATGATGGCAATGAGGCTCTTGTGACTTTCCTGGTTGCCGAGTAAGTCTCCCCAGGCATGGTCAATGAGCCTTTCATCTATGATTCCGGTTTCTTCGAGTTGGATCCATAGGTCTTTTACAGGATGTTCCGCCTGTTTAAAGCGCCTTACAGTTATAACGCTTTTGAGGACATCAACAAGCCACTGAGGATCTAATATCACCATCTTTTCCAACTCTGGAGAGCCACTAAAATGAATCACAATTCTCTGATCATGCAAAAAATTCATTAGAGTGGAAAAATCATTATCTTCTTGGATTCCACACTCTTCAAATGCAATCCTTTTGGCTTCATCAAGTGTTATCCACTTATCACACTTCTTGCGAAGGTTGTTTTCGTACCTCAACCACTTCACCGGTATTTCTTCTTTCGTCAATTGCAGTTCCTTTGCAACTGCGAGAAGCTCTTCTCTCAGGCGCTTGACCCCAATACATTCTTCCACACTCCCTGACTTTGTATTATCTACGACGAAAACATCTTTATACAAGTTTTCTCTATAGATCTTGCTTTGGAGAAAGCCATATACTTCTAGCGCGAGGTCTCTGGCTTTAGAGCCACCAACCGGCGCGTCGGCATGGGTGCAAACTAGAAACACCGGCGGGAGCCTTCCCGGCAGAACATCGCTAACAGGTGGAGCAGTCTGTTGGGAGCTGTTTTCCTCTAGACCCCTCAAAGAATAAATCGATGACATCCAAAAGTCCAGGTAATCAAGGTTTGTTTTAATGCAGTTAGTGTCCACTTTAGTCTTGAAAAGTCCTGTTTTGACAGGCAGGTTGGCTCTCTCGTTTGGATCACGGCTCAGGTCAGATACCAAAATATATATGGCTTTCTCTGTAAGGAAAATTGGATGGGTGTCATAGTAAACGGTCTGTCCTCCAAAATCCCACAAGATTGAGTAGATTTGGTCTTCGCTTGCACTTTCTCCTTCACGTAGCAGTTTTTCAACCAGCTTCGCCAATTCCTCTGGCAATTTTCTTTGAGAAGATGTAGTTTCCCTATGAGTTTTGCGGAAGACTTCACGAGCACTTTTTGTACTAGATTCTGAGTCGGACTCTGTACTAGACTCTGTACTAGATTCTGAGTCGGACTCTGTACTAGACTCTGTACTAGATTCTGAGTCTAACTCTGCCTCAGCCGCTGATAAAAACGACTCCCCTTTCTTCAAACGATCGAAGATCACTTTTGCTGCTGCAAGGTTTTCAAATGGAACTTCTAGCTCAGTTTGCATTTCTTCGCCCGTTTGTCCGCTTTTCCAAGTCTCTGTAGATACTTTAAAGTACGAAGGGTCAGTTTCGATTCCATCTGTGCTTTTTTCTTCTTTGTCGAATTTTTCTCCCTTTAAGGACCTTTTAAGACTAGTTTTCCCTGTCCGCTCCTGTCCGATCAACATTATGGGTATTCTCTTTATGCAGGCCTTTCCTTCTGTTAGTGCTTTGTCATAAGCCTCGACAGCTTCAGGACCTCGAGCTTGAATTTCCAAAGGCACTGAAGATGTAACTTTAAGAATGATAGTTTAGCGGGTGAGAAACTAATATCTCTCGTTCGGCAGTAAGATAAATAGGTGTGAGTGGCCCTTAAGATGATAATAATTTCCTTTATGATGTTTTGTTGGTTCTATATCTTCAGGGTCAAGCAATGAAATATTGCATTACTTGCAAATATTAAAAAAGTGATAGTATAACATATTGTTTAAATATATTCATCATTCACCTTTAAGTCAAATTACGCCAAAAATTTTGCAACGAAGGTTTTTTTAGTTGGGATTTTTGTTTTGTTGTTTTGTGTGACATACTCTCGAATTGTCGGCCTTATGTTCTATTCGGCCACGAGACGTGTTAGTCGCGAGCATACCCAGATCGAAGGATTGTCGATATAATATAATAATAGAACGGGGAAAGGGGTATGTCATCATATTTATTATTTGTATTTATAAACCGAAACGTGTATAATCAAAGGTAGTTTTGTTTCGCTTAAGATATTTGTGTTGTTTGATTTACCTTTATACTCGCCCCACGTGTTCGAGTTTAGGACATTTCGATTAGCGTCATTATTGCATTGTAATGACCTATTTTAATTTATTGTATTTCAGTTTTTACGAGCTTTTAAGTGATTAATAAACTCGTTGAGAATGATAGAAGCTTGGAGGTTCCGTTAATATAAGACATTTCCCCGACGTGGCGTTGTTGAATTGCATGATTTATGCCAGTGTCCGCCCCATTACAAGTTTAGAAAGAACATGATTGCTAATTATTAAACATTCTTTGAGCTAACAGCCTCCCGGTTAGCTCAGTTGGTTAGAGCGCTGGACTGTTGTGCGGGAGGTCGAGCTCGATGGTTCGAGCCCCGGCCGGACCAACACTCAAGGTCTTAAAATAACTGAGGAGAATGCGCTACCTTTCTATGATATCAAGAAATGGATAGACATTCTAGTCTTCTCGGATAAGGACGAATAAACCGTAGGTCCCGTCTCCTGCATCTATTAATTAGTTAATTTGGTTAGGCAGGGGACGTTAAAGAACCCACTCACGAGATTACTGTGATGTGGTCTGGCCTGTTTACTGGGAATTGGGGGGAGGGGGCATCTTCAAATAAGTTTCCTTCGATTGTTTGTAAACTGCTGATGCAGTCCGGCCAAAGTCCCCCGAAAAGTGTNTCGAATTTTTCTCCCTTTAAGGACCTTTTAAGACTAGTTTTCCCAGTCCGCTCCTGCCCGATCAACATTATAGGTATTCTCTTTATGCAGGCCTTTCCTTCTGTTAGTGCTTTGTCATAAGCCTCGACAGCTTCAGGACCTCGAGCTTGAATTTCCAAAGGCACTGAAGATGTAATTTCAAGAATGATAGTTTAGCGGGTCATAAACTTATAGTCTGTGGCTCTCGTACAGCAGTAAGATAAATAGGTGTAAGTGGCCCTTAGGATAATAATAATTTCCTTTATGATGTTTTGTTGGTTCTATATCTTCAGAGTCCAGCAATGAAATATTGCATTACTTGCAAATATTCGAAAAATGATAGTATGACATATTGTGTAAATATATTCATCATTTACTTTTAAGTTATATTACGCCAAAATTTTTGTAACGAAGGTTATTTTTAGTTGGGATTTGCGTGACGTTCAACACCCTTTTGTTTTGTTCTGTTTTGTGTGACATACTCTCGAGTTGTCGGCATTATGTTTCATTCGACCACGAGACACGTGTTAGTCGCAAGCATACCCATATCGAAGGATTGTCGATATACTAGAATACTAGAACGGGGAATGAGGTATGTCATCTTATTTATTTTTGTATTTATACACCGAAACGTGTATAAACAAAGGTAGTTTTGTTTCGCTTAAGATATTTGTCTTCATTGATTTACCTTTATACACGCCCCGCGAGTTCTAGTTTAGGACATTTCGATTAGCGTCATTATTGCATGGTAATGACCTATTTTAATTTATTTTATTTCAGATATTACGAGTTTTCAAGTGATTAATAAACCAGTTGAGAATGATAGACGCTTGGAGGTTCCGTTAATATTAGAAATTTTCCCGACGCGGCGTTGTTGAATTGCATGATTTCTGTCAGTGTCCGCCCCATTACAAGTTTAGAAACAACATGATTGGTAATTATTAAACATTCAGCCGCCATGTTCCGTGAGTACTCAGGAAATAATTCATCTTCCTTTACGCTGAAATATAATCAAAATAACGATTTACTTTAGGGATGAAACCACTCAAACACCCTCTTAAATTGCTGAGAATCCCAACACCTGAGAAAACCTGTTGTTAATCATATTGTGCGCTTGCAGAGATGTATCCAAATCGTTTTTAAATGGAAAGCCATTGATGTACATGAAAAAGAGTTTGGATGTGTAGGAAGATTGTAAAAATGAGAATTATTACAACTTGCTATGGTAGATAATGATTTGAGTGCTTGCCGCCTCTTCCTATCCCTTAAATGAACACTAAATAACGAGCTACGTTGGCTTGCCTATTCTGTTAAATTCAAAATAATTACAGGCTCTCTACCAAAATGGATGCGAAAAAAGAGAACACACTAAATGGAATAATTACAGGGAGGGGACCATAAATAAAATGATACGTTCTCCGTACAATAGAGAATCACTACTGACAGGTAGATGCTTCCTTCAAACAATTTATGTAAATGAGCCAATGCATGGGAAGTTGGCTCACTCTCAAGGTGGAAGGTCTTGTTTGGTATTAATCGTTTGGTTTAAAAAAAATAAATAAATAAATAAATGACGATCGGCAATAGAATTTGAGCCAGAAGGAGCAGGCTTCGCAGAAGGACCAACGAGCTCACTATACTAGTCGAAATAGCACTTCCGCTTTTTCCTGGCCGCTTTTTTCTGGCCAAAGTACAAAACTTTGGCCAGATGCTCACAAACTTTTTGCAATGGGGTTGACAAACTTGAGCGGGGTAAACAAACGTTATCTGTCAAGATGCACATCACAAAACTTTGAAAGTTTCACTACGCGAAAATAAAATGAAAAACACTCGATGTATTTAACAACCATCAGATTAAATCAGGCTTTTAATAGATCAGTGAAAGTGGAACAGCTTACTCTGTTGTGGAAGTAAATCGAACTCAGTGCATTTAAGGATGCGCAGTCAGTTTAGATTTCTTCCCCGCCAGTGACCTTCGTAAGCCCTAGCCAGACAAGTGCTTTAAAGAGGAACTGTGTTCTCCTGAGAAAAAATCTGAGTGTCTCCCCTGTGAAAACCAGAAGCTCTCGTACTGTTCGAAGTTACAGCCCCTTGGAGCCATAGCGATTGTCTACAATGTGTTAAACTATTTAAAATTCCTATGCGATTAGCAAACACTGAAAAGATTGGAGGGCTGATAAGTGGGGGGAGGTGTCTAACGTGAAATTCACTAATTTACTTAATGTATATTTGCCGTGTACAGAAAGGACGAGGCACATAAACCCAGGTAATAGCATTATATTGTTCTTTGAGCTGCTACACACTGGGGAAGTAAGCTCGAAAAAATAACATTTGGGTCACAAGTGCGATAAATTTATGTTTTGCCAGCTTGAGACAGCCTGAGAAAAATGCTAAAATAATTCTCATATTCTCTGAATTCCGAAAAAAAAAAACGATATTTAACTCCTCCCGACAAAGCCGTACAACATATATTTTTTCAGAGTCCGCGAGCAAAAAATGTAAAATTATGAATCGAAAGAAACAATGATAAATAATCGCAGCCTTTCATCTTTGTTTTCCTTCCATCTCTGAGAAGTCAATTAAACGCCCCTTCTCCCCTATTTTTTGAATAATCAATAACAAACTCACATGAAGGAAAATCAAAGGCTCTGTGAGCCAACTCGTGAATTGGATAAGCCAATGTAATTTGTGTCGTCAATAGAAATGGGTGTTTGATTTCCATACTAGTGTATGAATCGTTTGACTGGTAAATGAGCATTATGAGGAATATGATGTGAAACTAAATTAGGCCTCAAAGACAGAAAATATGGCCTGATTAGGATTTAGTGTAAGACAATCACTCTTCCAGATTTTACTGTAAAGGTTTTTGGAAAGAAATTTCAAAAGGGTGCTGTTTTGTTTATCATAAAACTATTGTTCCAAAATTGAGCTCAGTAATTACTTGCGATACAAGTATAGGGATAGGCATGTAAAAGCTTTAGCGCTGGATGGAACGCACGCACATAAGGATTAGCATATATGCATAAGATTATCAAAACGTTGCCTTCTTTATACGCTTATACTGTCTAGTTAAGACTTGGTTGGCATGAGCGTAAGGATAAACATAAGCGAAAGACTTTCAGGCTATCAGCAAACACTACACTGCTTATACCAACCATGTCCCTATTTAACATAACATCGACTGAGCGCTTGTGCTCATGTTTATATATGTTGCAGCTGTGCCCACCTGCGCTTAGCTTGTTATGTTTAGATTTACATTTATTTAGATTTAGATTTATTTAGCTTCGCCAGCCGGCAGGGACACCGCAACAGCTTGCGCCAATTACTGCGGGCCCAATAAACCCACCCATCCCACCCCAGGGGAAGACATCGCTCACACAGTAATCTCGTGTGTGGGAAATTAACGTCTCCTACCCCAACCCTGCAGGAGACAGGACCTCCATTTATTCGTCCCCATTCGCGAAGACCAGAAGATCTAACCATTTCTTGATGTTTTAGAAAATTCTTCTCAATTATTTAAAGACCCTGAGTGTTGGTCCGGCCGGGGCTCGAACCCTCGACCTCCCTCACAACAGTCCAGCGCTCTATCTATTGAGCTGTTTCGCACTTCTGAGATAATTATTAGCGAGAGGATGAAAACAAGTACAAGGATATTCACACTAATCACTTCCGCATACACAGTGTGAGTTACACCATTGAAAAAAGAGCATATCGATTGTTCAGCCGGATTGCAATTTGAAAAAATTTGATTCTTTATTTAAGGAAAAACCGACGGTAAAAGTTCACAACAAACATGGAGGAAAGGCCAGTCGAAAAACCTTGTGGTAACTAACTGAACGGCGCATGCGTGCACGCGATTACATCATAATACGTCGGAACATTCTCTCCTTCTTGATATGCAATATCAATAAAACAATTGAAATTTTAAACTTAATTGTGTAGCTCATTAATTCAATGTTCTCCTTGTATAATGTCCGTTAAATTAATGTTAAACGCAACTGTTCATATCACTTAAATGTTCATCTTAACGGAATCTAATAGTCACTAACGCTCCAATGGACAAAGTTTTACAATCGTTCTCCGAAACACACTCTTTCCGACTTGGACATCAACAACTCGAACTTTGTTGTCTTTACCAGGGAACACTTTCACAATTCGGCCCAGAGGCCATTTGCCTCTTGCAGTATCTGTGGACATGACAATAACCACATCTCCAATTTTCAAGTCAGCTCGGTTGCCACGCCACTTCTTCCTTCCCCTAAGACTTGGAATCCACTCCCGTAACCACCTATGCCAGAAGTGGCGAACAAGTTCCTGCACTCGGCGCCATCTCTTTCTCAGGTTAAAGGACACCTCGTCGACAGTTTGAGGAGCAAACTTCCCCCCTAACTAGCCGTGAAGAAAATGGTTGGAGGTGAGAGGGGTTAGGTCAGTTGGATGGGTTGACTGGTACGTCAGTGGTCGAGAATTTATTAACCCTTCTGCGCCTACAATCACACTCAAGAGTTCTTCATCTTTGATGTCTGCACAGTTCAAGATGGCATAAATGGCTTTCTTGGCAGCCTTAATCATAATTTCATGTAAACCACTGAGATGCGGGGCGAGCGGGGAATTAAAGTGCCAATTGACCCCATAATTTAGGGTGGCGTCCTGAACTTTCTTCTTATCCAGGGCTTTTAAATCCTTTAGTTCACTGCTCCCACCAACAAGGTTAGTAACGTTATCACACATAACATCTTCTGAGAGGCCGCGTCGCGACGCCTTTCTGAAGAACGCGTTCAGAAACGAGTCAGTGTCTAGGCTAAATGCTACTTCCAGATGCACAACCCTTGTCGCTAAGCATGTGAATAGACAAAGGTAGCTCTTCTGACGGGTCTTGCCTCTTCCTTGTTTTGTAATGAAAGGTCCCCCAAAGTCAACAGATGTTTGGCTGAAGGCTCGTAAAGACTTCCGCGTACGTAATTCAGGCAAAGGGGCCATAATCTGCTTGGCTGGGGTAGCTTTCCTTGTTCGGCACTGCATGCACTCTTTTTCCCTCTCTTTGATTGCCTCTGTAGCTGAGATTATCCAATATCAAACTGAAAGCTGAGCCAATACTTGATTGGTTCCCGCATGTTGAGTCTGCTCGTGAGCTTTCTTGATTATGAAGGTCGTGACCCAATGATTACGAGGTAAGATGATGGGGTAGCGAAGTCTTCCATCACACCTCAGGACTTCCTCTTCATCTAACACAGGTTTCAAAGGTTGCATTTTACTTGTGCTTGGTAGTTCCCTCCCAGCCTTTACTGCCCGCATCTCTTCCTTGAAGACCTCTTCTTGTGCTTGTCTGATAAAATGCAGAGATGACTTCATCGGGTTGTAGGGCGCCTTCTCTCCTAAGAGCTACTGGTAAGCGACAGTTCTCTATGAATCGGTTCACTAGCGCAGAAACCCTTGTGAACTTACTCCAACTTGAGTATCTTTGTGGTTCTAATCAGTCTTCACTGCTTGAAGAAAGGAATGCTCTTTCCTCAGTACAATTCTTCATCTGATGCGACCTCCGGATCTCAACATCTAACACTCTCTTGGTTTCAATTTTGTTCTCTGGCCACTCAGAAGGGTCCTGTTTTAGGAAGGTGGGACCACTCCACCATTTGTCTTCATCAGCAAGAGCGGAGACACTAAGCCCTCTTGTAAGTAAGTCAGACGGGTTCTGCTTAGTCGGCACATATCTCCACTGCTCTGGATTTGTCGACGCCTGGACTTCCCCAACGCGATTAGCCACAAATGGTTTAAATTTTCGACTCTGACCTTGAATCCAGTGAAGTACATCCATGCTGTCAGACCAAAAGACCCATTTGCTCTTGTCAATGCCAAGTACCTGTCCTACGTTTTCTGCAAGTTTGAGTCCCATGAGTTCCAATCTTGGTATGCTAACGACTTGGAGTGGTGCAACACGCGATTTTGATGCCACAAGGCGGGAAGAAACAGTTCCATCCTTGTAAAGGTGTCTAACATAAGACTGAACCATATGCTTCTTGGGATGAATCCACAAAGGTGTGAATGGTCATCTCTTCAATAGTAGTGGGATCTTTCAGGCATCGCAGAACCTTAAGACGGGACAGTGCTGGCAGTTCATTGAACCAATGTGTTGCCTACTGTGACAAGTTTTCACCAACTGGCTCATCTTAGTCCACACCACTCGCCCACATTACTTGAAGCGGGATCTTGGCTCGGACAGTGTATGGTGTTAACAGGCCAAGAGGGTCAAACAATGTTGCTATCCCTTTCAAAAAATTTCGTTTCGTTTGGTCACGTTTCTTAGCAGGCTAGTTGACTTGAAACTTAAACACATCCTCCATGGGGGACCAAAGGATTCCTGGGGTTTTGACTTGAGGTAATTCACCACGATCAAGATCAACTTCGGTGGCGCAGTCTGAAGATGGAATGCTCTGCAAGACTTCCGGCTTATCTGATAACCACTTCCTGGCATACATCCCAGCCGAACCCCAGAGCTCTGATAATTGGTTGTATAGTTCAATTGCAGTTTTCACATCAGGCACGGAATCCCTGCTATCGTCCATGTACATACTTTTCAAGATGGTTTCGGCTGCCAGGGGAAACTCTGACTGATATCCCTTGGCATGTTCTTGGGCAACAAATTGGGTTTGAAAAGGAGATGAATTCACTCCGAATACTACACAGTCAAATTAAAAAATCTCGGGTTCCTTGTCTATCTCCATATTCCGCCACAAGAAGCCATAATAAGGCTGATCTTTTAACTGCAATTTAATTTGTAAGTACATTTCTTTGATGTCACACATTACAGCCACTAGTTCACGGTGCAGTCGGAGTAGTACTGAAAACAAGTCAATCTGTAGTTTAGGCCCTTGTAATACGTTGTCATTCAGAGACACTCCATTAAACTTCGCGGAGGCGTCAAATACAATGCGGGTTTTGGTCATTGATCTATCAGGTCTTAGTACTGGGAAATGTGGCAGATACCAAACTTGATCTGGTTTCTTTTCCTCTTGTGGAACCTTGTGGATGTATCCTGCTTCTTGATAGGTCTGTAGCACTCTCTCGTAAGCTTTACTAAGCTCAGGCGACTTTGTAACTTCTTCTCAGAATTTCGCAGATGGTACAATGCCATGCTGTAATTGTCTGGCAATAGACGTTTGCCACTCTTCCAAGGCATTCCAACAGTGTAATGACCGTCGACAGATGTCAGTGAGTTGGCAACTGTGTCCCTATCTAGCTTCTCGTTTGTATTCACGATGTTAGTTTTTGAATTTTTAGGTTCATCAATGTCCCAGTACCGACGGACGAGGTTGTTCAGCTTATCTGAATCACTCAAGAAGAAGGTGAAGTTGGCCTGGATTCTCTCTGCCTCGCCATCTGGGTTACCGATACAAGTCCACCCCAGTGGAGTAAGTCTAGCAATAGGTTCTTCACATCGACCTTTCACATCTTTCAAAGGGTACAGCAGGTCTGCCTGGTCCACTCCGATTAATACGTCCATTGTTGTTCTGGGACCCACTTGAGGAAACTCAATGTCCTGCAAATGCTTCCACTTGGACTGATGCCGTCTCCAGCCGACGACTTCTATGTTGCCTGTGACTCTCTCTGTCGTATAGACAGATGCTTGTTTGGTCACTTTTCCATTCAAACTGCTAATTGTAAATTCCACCACTGTTGCTTCGAATGTCTCCTGGTTGTCATTCAGAACATTTACTGTTAGCTCCTGTGGATTTCCTTCAAGCCCAAGTTCTGCTGCGATGTCACTGTTCAAGTAGGTTCTGCTGCTGCAGTCACCCAAGAGCGCATTTACTTTCATCTTTCTTTTCCCACTAGCCAAATAGACAGGGACAGTTGTCAATGCAACAAATTTGGTGCAGGGTGGGGGCTCTGCGCCAGTTGTGGTCGTGTGGGTCCTCTCGTTCCGCTCCCCTTCTCTAGCAGGCCCGCTTGTAACACTTGTTGATGCATTCAGAGGGTGTTCTCTACTTTGCTCCTCTGTGCTCACCCTCGGCCCCGGATCTACATGAAGCATCCGATGATGGTGGGACCAACACCCATTTATTCCACAAGATTTGCTCCGGAAACATGACTCTCCACGATGACCATTACAAAGACATCTAAAACACAGTCTGTGCTCCGTTGCCACGTTCCATCTTTCATTCACCGTCATCTTTTTGAAGTTTTCACACTTCCACAAACCATGTTGCTCTTTGCACAATTTGCACTTCCTTGTAGGTTTCTTCTTGGAACTATGATCTTCTTCAGTTAGGAAAGTTCGTACTCTCTTGGTTCCATCTTTAAGAACACCTGCTATGGTCTCCGAGGCTGTTGTCATGAACTCTGACTCCCTGTCAATGAACTCCCGTAATGCAATCACGTCTTCGCTCTTTCTGCTATCGCAAATTCACTGCTTGTATTTTGCAAGAAGGTTCTTGTTGAACTTGCGTTGGAGCGTGTTGAAGAGTGATTCATTCCCAAGTTCTCCCTCTTGTTTAGCATCTGTCAAGTTCACAACCAATGCATCCAGTAGTTCAGCAAACGTTTCAAGATCCTTCTCGCTCCCTTCTCGTAACTGTTTGAAGGCTTCTAACTCTTCGAGACATACTTCCGTTCTAGTCGGAACTTGGCGGCTTCATACGCTGCCGCAGAATGACCAAGGTTCTCAATAACTCTGAGGGCTTCACCTTGGAGGCATTCACGCAATCTTAACAACTTGTTTTCAGGTCTAGCCTTGACTTGGTCAACACGCGAGCAAAAGGCTGCCTTCCAAAACGCATAATGCTTCTTATTTCCCGCAAATTTCGGAATGCTTACTCTCTTAAGTGCTGCTGAGGAATCAATAATGAGTTGGCCATTGGCAGAATTTGATAACCGATCAGTGCCAGAGTACGACTTAAATTGGTCACGACTTGATAGAGGTTGGGCTCAAGCGTGGGCCCCAGCTGCTATTTCATACATATGATGAGAAGACACAATGGATGTAAATACAGCAGATGATTGTACTAGCATACTCTGCTTGGAATTCACAAGTGTATTTAATGGCTGCTGCTGGTAAGGCAGTGGACAATCTATTGTAGGAATTTGAGACATTGTGGCTGGAGGTACGTTGGGAGTTGAAGAATATACAATTCCACTCAATGGAGAAAATGAAGCTGCCATGCTGTTAACAGAAGCTCACGTAAACATAGGAAAATCCGTGGATAAAGTACAGGGGGGACTTGGGAATTCTTTTACTGTGGTCATCTGTACTCTTGGGGTACTTTGATCTCTTAATTGTTGTTCTGGAACTGTCATACCTTTAACTTTCTCTCTTTGTTCCACAAGATCTCTCACTCGCTCACATGGCTTGTCCACAACAACTTTCTTACCTCCTAGGTCTCGATCTTTTGCTAGTTGTTCTTTTGAGAGTCTCTCCTCTAGCTTTTTGTGACACTCCTCGTAGGTTTTCTCCAGGATGCCCACAACTTGCTTCAGTTCTCGTTCTCGCTTTCTGATCTCCTCTTCGAGTCGTTCTGACTGATCCAGAATTGCAGATTGTCCAGTCGGCGTGGTTCTGGAACCGTTTAAGGTACTATTGCGACTCGGACTGCCGCTTAGGTATCCCTTGACCACTCCTTCAATGTCACTAAAATCTTTTTCCAAACCTTTCAACTCATTCACTACAGCGCTAAGCCTCGCCGAATCGCCAACATCCTCGTAATGCGCTTCTAAATTTTCGACAGCACTAACTACATCCTCAAATACAGCAGAAAGAAGACTCAAATTTTCCATCACCTGCATTTTCGAAGCCATTCCTCCCTCTAAGGTCATCAGTAATTTTGTTTTTGCTCTTGTATAAGCGCCCTTGTACTTCGCCTTGTCTTTCGTCGTTCGTTCATTCCGGTTTTCGTTCCAAAATTCGTCGCAAAATCCAGCTAAATAAGTCAACTCTTCTTGTAAAGCCTCGCTCTGCTACCAGATGTTCAGCCGAATTGTAATTTGAAAAACATGTGATCCTTTATTTAAGGAAAAACCGACGGTAAAATTTCACAACAAACACGGAGGAAAGGCCAGTCGAAAAACCTCGTGGTAGCTAACTGAACAGCGCATGCGTGTACGCGATTACATTAGAATACGTCGGAACATCGATTGATTGAACTTATGCTTGAGCTTATTTCACTGCAGTTCACACTTGTGAACCACTTTCCAACGTCGATACAGCTCCAGGAATACCAAACAAGCCTCAAACAAGTCACTTTTCGAGCAGTTGAGCGTGAGCGACACTTCAATATCGGACTATCGGCGAGCAGCGCTTTAAATGTAAAATTAATATTTAGATAAAGTTTCTTCCGGTAAAAAGCAGTGCTAGAGAT